TGGGTGTCTCCTTTGTAAGAGAGCTATAAAGTTGGTCAACCACCTCTTGCTTTCGTGGTCTCTTTCCTACAGACTTTGGGTGTTGGCTTATAATTTTATGGGGGTGAACTGGGTTATGACAGGTTCGTTCAAAGAGGAGATATGGGTGTGGAGAGGCATTCATGGATATTAGAGATATAACAGGAGTTCAGCTACTATCCCACTGGTCACTTTATAAATTTTATGGAAATAAAGACATAGAAGAGCCTTGAAGGGTATTGAATGATCCTTTGATGAGACTAAAGATTCTTGATCGAGAACCTTTGTTTTTTGATAAAAAAGTTATCCTTCTTACACTTGTGAGAATTATGGGACTTGATTGATATGTTGACAGATGTGTAAAGCTTTCGTATGCGTGTTACATCCTTTTAGTGCTTTAGTCAAGGGCACCTATTGTCACCCACTTTCCATTTTAGTGATGGAAGCATTTAACAAACATTAGTGAAGGCTAGAGGATCTGATTCAATTTAGGGCTTGAAGGTGGGGAAAGGACGAAATAAGGGAGTGATTCATTTACTTTTTGGATGACTCCCTTTTCTTTTGTCAGCTTGATAGGTGGCAAACTATGAAGCTTAGATGTCTCCTTGTGCGCTTTGAAGCTGTTTTTGGTTTCATAAACAATTTGGATATGTCTAAACTGGTGGCTTTTGTGGAAGGAGTTGCTTGCAAGGATTATGTAATGGTTCTGGGATGTGAACTTTCTTTTAAGGTATTGGGCTTTCCTGTTGGTGATAGACCTAATGGTTATGGCATGTTAGAATTTGTGTTGCTGAAGATGGAAAAATAAGTATTTATCAAGAGGAGGAAGACTCAATGTGATTAAGAGTAATTTGTCTAATTTGCCTATATATTTTCTATGTTTTCTCCTATGCCTTTTAAGGTGGAAAGCATATGGAATCCTTGCCATCTTGTTTTCCTTAGGGTGACTAGAATAACAATTGGCATTCCCATTTTGCTGTCTTGGAATGGTATGAAAGGGCCATTTTGAGAAGGTGGATTGCCATTGGGTTTTTTGTTGGAGATGAGCAAGTCCTTATTAGCCAAGTGGTTGCAGAACGTGGGGAGAAGTGATCATAGCCAAGTTTGGTATTGAAGGCAGGGGTTGGAGAACTAGAAAGGATAGACGGCTCTGTGGCACCAACTTATGGGATGGATCAATGGAGAGTCATATACTATCCTGGACTTAATGCATTCTAAGGTGGATAGTTGATGGTCAGTTGGGTTTCAGGATGATTATGGTGTGGAGATTCTCCATTAAGGATTTGCTTCCCTTGCATTTTTTCTTTGGTAAGAGAAAAGGAAGCATCAATTTATGACTATGGCTTTTATGGCCAATGGCCAACCTACCTAGAACCTCAACTTCTCTAGAAATCTCAACAATTTTGAGGTAGTTGAGCTTTTGGAGCTCATGATATTTATACTACATGTTAGGTTGAAACCTCTTTGGATGATTGTCGTTTTGGGCCCCTTGCTAAAGGTGCGAATTCCTCTATGAAGTTCTTGGATAACAACTTGTGCTCCCAGAATGTTGCTACATTTAGATTCCTCTAGAAGCAAGTATGGAAAAGTTGAAGTTTCCAACCAATTGCTTCTTTTGGGAAGCAGCTTTGGGAAGAATATTATCATTTACAACTTGAGGAAGAGAGGTGGCATTAGAGTTAATGGTGGCCCTCTGTGTTTGTTAGGAGCACAAATCTCCCAATCATCTCCTCCTTTTGTGCTAAGAGGCGGTTAGTATGTGGGATTGAGCAAGGAATTTGATTTTGCTTGGTTATTAAAGTTTCTAAATATAGGAAAAATAAGGTTTTTAATTTCATCCTTATATCTGTTTTTTAGTTTCATGGAAAAAAAAATAGTGAACTTTTGAGGATACTAGTTAGAGCCTATTGATTCCAGTCTGAGGATTTTGTTGACAGGGCACCCCATCCTTGAGTGGCGTGTATATGGACTTTTTGATTTCTAAACTTTTGTAGATCTTTCATAAATGGATGGTACCCTCTTAGTGCTTTCTAATTTTGTTTCCTTTTCTATCTCAAAACATGCATCTGAAGTTCATATTGCTTTTGGCCTGGTTTGCAATGATATTCTTGTTGCATGAAAAATAATACAATTTTACTTTGTTGTGTATAATTTAAGCAAGCATTAAAAGTACTATGATGGTATCAGTAAGGCTTCAATTTCAAACTTTGGTTTGCTTTGTATAAGAAACCCTTGTTCTTTACAAAGTATATTTTGTTTTATAAATTATATATTTTTCTTTTTACCGAAAATATTTTGGAGATTTTGAGAGATGTTGAACTCTTTTCTATAGTGTGTAATTTCAAGAAAGTAAAAAGAGAAGAGGAAAATGAAAAGAGAAAGAACTTTGTCATACTAGTGTTTATTGTATTCATTCCTCAGCAAAATGTACCATGTTTTGTGAAAATTTCTTTAAAAAAATTGTTGTTTAAAACTTCTAAGGTAGTAGAGTTCTCGGAAGTATGTAAATACAGTGTTTGGGCTCTTTGGTCGATAGTTTCTTATACAAAGCATGTAGTTATTCTTAGTTTGAGTGTTGTGCTTATTATTCTCCATTTGGTTTCAGGTTTCTTTATCAATTATAGAGAATTTGATTCTTTGACGACTTAACAATGGATTCACCAGAACATATTCGGAATTACATGAAGCGTGATGTAGAGGATAATTCAGATGTAAAGAGTGATTGTGGTGGGGATGATGAAGAATGGGAGAGCAGTGATAAGAGAAAGCACAAGTCAAGCAGGCCTAGAAAACCCAATAATGGAGAAGAAGTTGAGGGGTTGGATGGCAATGGAAGAAGGAGAAGTTATGGTGATAGAGGTGAGGGTCGTAAGAGGTCAGGCGGCTCTAGCAGAGCTGATAGTGATGAAGATGATTATGACACAAGAAAAGATCCGCGATCTAAGCAAATGAAGAAGAAGCAAGAGGAAAGTTCATTGGAAAAGTTGAGCAGTTGGTATCAGGATGGAGAGCCAGAAAACCGGCAAGATGGCGGGGATAAATCGGGGAGTAGAGGACATGGTCGGAGTGATGAGATTGAAAGGAGGAGAATCAGCTCCAAAGTCTCAGAACATGAGAGTACTCGCAGCGAAAGTAAGAATAAGGAAGAAAGAT